CTGAAGCTCACAGGCCCCCTGTTATTCTCTTCCTCTGTGTGCAGCAGAAGGGGGGCATGATCGGAATGGTTACGCTCAAGATGTACCACCATAGAGGCAGGAAAAGTTGCCATCCAGTTATGATTGACAAGAGCCCTATCAAGGCGTTCCCATAATAACGAACCATTCCTGTTACGATGCTAAGTAAACCGAGAACCTGTGAAAGGAACATCATACAACGAGTTCGTATCAATAAATTGTACAAAATCTTGTTTAGCAGCACGCAAAATTGGACCACCTCCAAGTTTTTTCTCGTCAGTTTTCACAATATTAAAGTCCCCTATCAACATGATAGGCAAATTAATAGACAGTAAGTATATGGGAAATGGATGACCAAAGATTTCTCCTCAACAAATAATTGCATTTCGCATAAATCACCACCAACACTACAGATACTCCCTTCCAATCCAAAGTTACTGCAAGAAATTGATCAGTAGCTCCCAGAACTGTGAAGCTATGATTGCCAGGGAGACAAAGCTAAACCTTTCCTCCTTCACTGTCATTGGAGAAAACCTGGGGAAGACCTAACTTTCTGGCAAAATGAGAAGCTTTGTTAAAAGGCAACATAGGTTCAAGAATGGCTAGAAAAGCAATATTATATTTTCTATAAATTAGTTTGAGGTGACGGGTTGTAGTAGCATTGCCCACCCCCCTAGCATTCCATACTAGGAATGCACTCATTAAAAATTGTTTTGAGAGGCATCTCTGACAAGCAGGTCAGAGATGTAATTGAGCTTCCTATGACGTCGATTATTGGCTCTGATATCCGGAGTATCGGAGTCTGAGTGGTAAACCTCATCCCTCTCTGGTCTTAAAGTCTGATCACCTCCAGCCTGCCATGGTGCCTCTAAGTTTAAAGTGTCAACCAAGGCGTCAAAGGAATTGCCGATAGGAATGTTATCCATTTCTCTAGTGGGGATCATGTTTTGCGGTGAAGCCAAAGCTCCCTTTTTGACAAGATGAAAGTTCCCATTAAGAGGAGAACCTATTTCTACAAGCATAACTTCCTTCCCAGATTCTGTATTCAGGCTTATTCTCCCAGCGCAGTTGTCCTTATTCTGGGTGTTTTCTTCCAGAATATCCCCCTGTCCAACATCATGGAATTCCACTCTTGTAGGG